TACGGTGTCTCCAGGCCTATGTTTCAGCAGCAGTAAAAGGTTAACGATCAAACTGGAGTTATCTGTAGTTATATAACGTCAATAAATGAAAGCCTCACACCTACAAATGAGAAAGGACCATCGTTTAAGGAACTGCTTTACACTGTTATTGGCGCTGTCCATCGGAGTGGGAAAAGAGATGGAACGATCGCCGAGACTTTTGCTTAATTTATCTGAGATGTAAGATGCCTAGGGGACCGGAAAAAACGACAGCTGAATTGTATTTGCAATATAACACAGCATGTTGACCAAATGGGTCCCTTATCGAAATTGGGGTCCCATTATGAAACATCAAGATAGTGGTGCCTGGAAGGCGGGAGGCAGGTCAAGATTCTGGCTAATAGAATGTCGAATGAAGCGTATAGGACTGAATCTGTTCAGGTTCGCTTTACTGCTGAAACCGACCAGAATCTTTGCGGCCGCGGAGTTGAAATCGACGACTGTTTCCAGGGGGCAAGATTTGGACAATGGAGCTTCTTAAGGCACTCCATCCTGAACCGCCTCCAGGGCATAAGTTAGCTGATTCGGACTGTCCTGAGTCACGTCTTCTGCATATTTTAGCAGCGTACGAACCGAGAGTAACTATGACATGGAATACGATAAGGGGATGCAGTCGTTTCACTGGTTTCAGTTGATTTTTGATATCCACGAATATTTTCTGCATAGTAGGAGCTTTATATCCCAGTTGGCACAAGCAAATGGTGTGGAGGAGTGGTCGACTGCCGCGAGGTCCATAGACAGCACTCCGCAGGCAGGGCATAAGTTCAACTTCGTAGACGCCAAAACGATAAAATGAAGAGCAAACGAAACCACTTAGACTGGCACATGCCTCCACGTCACACAGCAAGACAACGCGGCCCATTTTCAGCCAAGTTAATAAGTTCGCTTCTTTCGTCTCGATTTTCTGTCGGGTTGAGCGTAAACAAATCAGGCTGATGTAATTTGGTGATTAATTATTCCAACAACAACACAGGACTGAACCTTTAGCCTTCTCTGGTGATTGATTGCCGTCTGGTCACCTGACAGTTTCGCATTCTAAAGCACCCAGAGAACATAAACCTGCTCGTCACATGAAGACATTATGACTGATGAAGATATACCGGCAGGCGAAAGAGAGAATGCAATGGCTATTTCCCGACTATAACACCGCCGTTAGCTGCCAGCGACACAATCTGACATCGATAAGATCTGAGATTTGAAAAAGGAGTTGGCTGATTAATGTTCAAAACATCCAATTAAAAATGTCCTCGTTATTTGAACCATTTAGTTGTGTACTGACAGCGCATTCGAAGGAAAAGTACCACCAATATCGATCGGCGCGTTTGACGAAATACTAGCAGTCATAAAATTTTTTTAAAATTCAGTCTAACTTATAATGCCCCATTAGTGAAGCTTAAGACCTACAGTAAGCATGATTTACCAAAACAGCCAGAACTATCATTTGCTGGACGAATACTTCTAGGAGGCCAGTTGACTAAAACGCAGATTGGCCTACCAGAATGAAGGTACATTTGCAGACACCCAAAAGTAAATCACACCGCGCATGTTCATGCCACACTTCCGTGCAGGCGTTACTTCCTGCCAGAAAATTCCCATGCAAAAAAGGGTTAGCACGTAAGTTTCGACTTACGGCTGTGTACGCTAGAAGTCGCGTGGGATCATCTGGGACAACCGGCCGCACCTAAAATTTAAGGAAAGAGCACGTTGAGGACTTCAGATTTTCAGGAAATATAAAAAGTGGAATTTAAAATTTCCAATTAATCTAGACAGTCGTACGTTTGACGAATTAGTTCCCATAGGGTGTAAAACCTTAACAGCATTTTCCTATGGTTGTTTGTTTCGAAGTTCATTATATTTTGCCCTTGAAATTTATTCTAGAAGAGCGCACAGCCAGCCAACCAACCAAAGCATAAGGATAATTGAAGTGCTCCTCGGAAATCAGCGCTAAATTGTTCTGTCACAGAGAACATTCTTGCCTCATCAGAGATGAAGCTAAACTGTGTCTAAAGAGCTCTATTAATAAACAGAATATTAGGTTTCGGAGCACAGACATACCAAGGGTCATCCAGCAGCCTGAGTGGGACCCCTCAAGAGCACTGTTTTAATGTGGTGTCAGTCGGCATATTTGGAGTAAGTGACAGAAGGCCTTAAAAAACTCCACTGAAACGCTACAGGCATGCATAAAAATTTCTGTAAAGTTGCAAAAATTGTTACAGGTTGTAAGGCCAAAGCATTCGGGCTCTCGGGGGACGCACAGGCCAACGCGTCGTCTAACGCCAGCGCCAGGAAGCCAGACGGCCGAGAAATCACCACGTCCAACTCCACCACGTGTGGTGAAAGTTCAGCAGGTTACAGCCCGCACACCGGCCATCAAGCAATCCATGCGCACATGTGGGCAATTATCTCGATAGGGAAGTTGTTAATTGTTATAAGGGTACAGTAACATAGGGACTATATCCTATAAATACTGCAACTCCCTCTGCATGAATTACCCGTTTCTACTATCATCTCTGAGGAAGAATCGGTGACGGATTTCCAAACGTCATGCAAATAAAAGTCTTGTCCCTTCGATCACCTCTTCTACTTCTTCTCCTCCACTGCTTCCTAGACGTACAACTGCAGCGGTCAGCGGCTGATGCCGATCGATAATTTAAACCTTTGTGCGTCCCACAGGCCCGATATATGGTGGGGTGAGCACCTCTATGGCTAAATCCATAATTAAGATGCAAAGGCAGACTTTTGAAGATCGAATGCTCCTGTTGAATTCAATTGTTAAATGGTCTCCGCGTTCAATGTATTTGACAGAACCCATTATTTTTCTTCGGGTCCGTACGGGGAATGAGGTGTGCGTTGACAAGTCGAGGATTAGTCAGTAGTTTGAGAACAATATTCGGGAGGGAATTCGCTCAATAAAGGTGGCTCCTGATTATTGTGTCATTTGAAGGTGCGTATAAAAAGTGGAAAAAGTGGGTAATTTACGAGACACAGCTTTCTTAAATAGTTTGAAATAATTCCCCTTTGAGTAATTGAAATGAGAACAACATGACAGTGAAAAAAATAAACATGTAAAAAATGGAATATCTTTAATACTAAATAGTGAAAAGACTTGTGAGGCACGCTCTAAACGATTAATGTTGAAGCACTGTGTAAAAATGGATTTAACAGAAGTGTAAGTAGTTCAGAAGAAGGAAATGCGATCACTTGAACGAGAGTTTTATTTTCTTGACGTTTCGGATTCTGTCGAGAATCCTTAATCATAGGTAATGGTAAGTAGCTTATTCTCACCGAGTATATGTGCAATGTGACCCACAGTTTTCAAGAATCAGATGATTACTATCACCATCATCATCACCGACAGATCGACCACCGAGTTCGACAATGTCCACCGTATGCTCAACAACGGGTGGTATAGGGATGGTGACTTACACATAAGTTAGTTTTAAGGGATAATAGACTTGCACTGCATCTGCTATAATCTCTCATCCCCTTCACCTGGGCCCGATGTCAAGACAGAGCCAAGAAGACCGGAGGCGGGAGAGGGCGCTTATACACTGTTGACTACCATAACCAAGAAAAACTACAACAAAGAAGGGGGATGGCTCCGATCCCGGCTGAATGAAAGTACCATAAAGGCCATATTACGAGGTAGCCTTTTCAGCCTGACTCTCCGTACGCTAGTCAGTCCCTCCACACAGCACACACTGGACTGACCACACGGTCTGGGTTTCCGTCAC